CTTAAACAAAATGTAATGTACACCAAATTTGAGGCATTCAATATTTTGTGTAAAAAGTAGCTAATCAAAGCACTGGGAAAAGTGAATAAATTTCAAGAGGCAAATTACCGAAAGCAATGATTTATATTCATTGCTATAATGTGGGAGACATAAATAGATCTATTTAAATGTTGTTCTAGTGGATCCAATTTTCCCTAGGTAGTTTCAAAATTCATACACCACCTTTTTGATATATAGTATCTGTATTTGTTTTCTCATATGACTAGAATTATATTTCTTTTTAAAATATTTTATTTATTATTTTTATTTATGTATATGAGTGTATTTCCTGTATGCATGTACGTGCACCTGTGCCATGCAACGCTGTGGAGGTCAGAAGGGGGCTTCAGATTTCCCTGGAACTGGAATCAAGGATGGTTCGTATCTGCCATGTGGGTGCTGGGAATATGGAACGCGGGTCCTCTGCAAGAGCAATGAGTGCTCTCAACCGCTGAGCAGTCTTTCCAGCCCAGAATTATATTTCTTAAACATGAAACATTGAAATATGGACTATAAAGAATTTTACATTTGCCTACTCATAAAAATTGAACTTTTTTCACCTTAAATGTTGAGAAAAAAAGAAGCATGAGCACTGCGAAATAATTTTAAAGATTGATTTAGTGGAGCAATTTGATTACAATTAACATAAAGATGGAGAAATATTATTTCACATGATCCAAATCTTTCTGAATCAGAATGGTAGGCAGGTAATTATAATGGCTTTCTCAATAACACTGTGAATGCAAGTTTTAAGTATGTTAGGCTAGAGATATTTTTCATTTTGTTTTTTTTTTTTCACTCTATGTGTGTGTGTGTGTGTGTGTGTGTGTGTGTGTGTGTGGTGACTTAAACATCATTCTCTTGTATTAAATACCTTCAGCGGGTAGATTAGGTAATTCAGCTTCATTTCCAAACTTCCAAAGATGATGTTTGAACTTTTAAGCAGTCATACAGGGCAAGTAGTTCCATGTTTCATGAATGACTTACCAACCATTACTGTGTATAACAAGAGAGGATTATATTACATCAGAGTTGTTCATGTTCAGAGCAAGCAAAGACAGGCAGCTTGAGGGAACTTTGCTATAGCAATGCATTGCTTGTTCCAAAATTTTCATTTAACTTAAAAGTTTTAATTTCCAGTTTACAGATTTAAAAAAAGTACAGGTTATGTTGGACTTCAATTTCAAGGTTTTTTTTCCTTGCCTTTGTAATGGGAGATACAAACTACAAAGTTAAACATCTTAGTTAAATTTTGAAATTATAAATTACTGAAATATTTTGTTAAAGCAATAGAATTATGTTATTCCTAGAAAGTTATATCTCACTGCTGATTTCAATAGTTGATATCCTGGAATCAGTCTAGGGCAAGAAAAATAACATGTTATCAAAATCAGATGGCTACGCCTTTAATTGCCAAGCACGCTAAATGACTAAAGTGACATATTAAACATTTCACAGAATCTGTCACTGAATTCAACTTAAGCGAGTACTATTATATTCCAAGTTAAATTAGAGTAATACTGTACTCACAGCATGGCTTCACTCATGAATAGTAACTGTCTAAACATTTCATCTTTCTGTGCATGCGTGTGTGCGTGCGTGTGTGTGTGCGTGCGTGTTCACATAGCATTTCAAAGTAGGTGTTCTCTCTTGTTCCTGTATGTTTGATGGACACGCATATGTGTGTGTCTGTAAGTCAGGTGTTGGAATCAGGTGAATTTCCTCTATTATTCTCCACCTTTATTTTGTTAAGCAGGGTCTGTCACTGAATCTGAGGCTAAACAGTTTGACTATATTTGCTGGACAGAGAGCGTCAGTGATCTGTCTGTGTCCATTCTCATTCTGAACTCTGCCCCAGCAGTGGAATTACAGGCAAGAGTCACTGGGCCCCACATTTTTACATTGGTTTTAGGCTCTGAACTCAGGTCCTCATACTGGCTACGCAGGCACCTTACAGACTGAGCCACCTGTGACTCACTGTGCTTCTTAGCTCATTTCTAAAATTCTGAGACTATTTCAACTCAAGTTTCAAACATTTGTTGTAGTGGAGTCTCTTGGTTTTTTGAAGTAGTGAAAATGAAATACCTTAAATATATGTTTTAGAATGTAAATGGTATATAGAAAATTTTCTAAAATCATACTTTGATTGCAATTCTCCTCATTAGTGTTCAGCATTCACAGATTGATTTTAATGTGGAAATTATATTAAGCAAGACTTTGTTTACAAACTACATCCTTTTATGTTAAAATTAGCAAAATTAATAAAGTTGATTCTAAAATAATCATTTTTACTTACAATTTTCTATAATCATGCCTAAAAATATTACCTTATGTACTGGATGATGTTAACAGGAGGCAATCTGTAGGTAATGCCTCAAGTTTCATGTTTTACATTTTTACTGCAATGTATACAAAAATTTCTCCCATAGTACATGTAGACACTTATGAAAATAGGAGCAACATAGCCCTCTGGTAAATAATTATATATTCATTTATCCAAACACATTCCTAACATCAGAGTCAGAAAAAATGGGAAAAGTGTATAATTCCCTGTCAAAATGTAAAATTTCTGATAGAACGCTGTTCTTTCTTTCCATGAATGTTTCTAAATGGTTGAGGAATGGCCTAATTGTAAAAATCGTCTTAAATCCTCCTTTTGAAAAACACATTCACTTTGTTTAAATAAATTGGAAGAGTTATGTGTTCTACTGACAGACATATTTTAAGACATTGCCATAATTGTCTCAGTTTTGTGTGACAGTTCCTTAAATGGAAGACAGTTTGAATTATTAAATATTCTTTTTTTCATTGTTCACATATCTTGTTAGCCTTCTATAATATCAGTGACCACAAAGTGACTCTCTTTGGATCAATTATAATTTGAAGAATATACAAAAAGAGCAAAGAACATTGCAAATGTAGTACAAAATATTAATGTTCAACTAATTTTAATATTAAATCAAACTGCTGAAATTGACCAGTTCATGTCTTCATGTGAAGACATTTAGTAATGAAAATGAAATACCTTCAACTAATGGCATCAAGTATATAATTTATTTCTTCATATATTTTCTGCTTTCTTGAGACACAGTTTCACTACGTACCCCAAGCTGTCCTGGAACTCACTATGTAGCACATCCCAGACTGGCATTAATCTCACAAAGACACAATGCCTCTGCATCCTAAGTGCTGGATTAAAGGCTTTAATAAATTCTTAGGGAAATCTGTTAAAAACTGTGATCTATAAATATAAATCACACTCAATATAGTTTTTAAAAACAAGTGATAAATTTATCCTAGGAAAACTTTGTTTTTAGAATATGAAACACTCAAAGTGTTATTAATAACAAATATTTTTGTTTAGAAACATTTCCAATAGGAATTAAAAAATGATAGTGACTGTTTCAGTGGTTTAATATAGGTGAAACATAATGGAGATGTTAGGCACCTGTTATGTTTTTCCTCCGTCTGAGACTTACCAGTGTAAAGAATCATGGCACACATCCAAATTGTGTAAACCACTGTAACCTCATTCAAAGAATAGCCAGAACTATACACTGTGTCTAACATTCTGTTTATCTTTTTCCAACATAATTTAATGGTGGATATATTGCACCAAAATCCACCCACTGTTGAATTAATAACTTACCTTCAATGTGTGATTAAAAGAGAAAGATTAATATTGTTTTAAAATATAATTGTGCATATCCTTGAATGATCTTTAGTGTTCACACCATTCCCAAAATTATGGTAAATTATTTGCATTGTTATCTTGAATCTGGTAGGCCTCTTTAATATTTGTATCTTTTAATGAAAAGGGATATATTTCACTTTCAGTCTATAACCATTCCTTTAAGCATAAATAAGTTCATAAAAGCTTTATTCACTGCAACTGAGATTACTAATTTTCTGATTTACCCTATCAAAATAGTGAGTTCAGTGTGTGGCATGACTATGAGAGAAAAAAATGCAAATAAATTTTATCACTAGACATTGTTTAGGAAATAATATTCTTAAACCATTTAATTTACTTATGAATTTCTAGATAAATTTATACTTATTTCTCCCAAGAATACACATGGGAAAAAGCACTATATAAACTCTTGTTTTCATAATGTATTGAGTTTAAATCTTTGTTTACAAATTTCTTGGATCTTAATATGTTTTTATTTCCCATTGTGCCTATTAGAAAAAGTAAACAAATTCCAGTTTACAAAGTCATTTTCTTTGAAGAAGGTCTCTAGAACTACCCTGAACACGTTCCAAAAATATTCACATATATTACTAATAATCTATAATAAAGTTCTTGCACGCACTTCATTCTCTGATTGAAATATAAGAGTAAGCATGCCTTCATTTTTAAACATGATTTCTTGCTTTATTATGTTAGCTCAGGTTTGATGAAACAATATACTTTTGAGTTAATCATCTCAAAATGACACTCTTTATGGTCAAGAGTTGTAATATGATGTGATATGGAGTTATGGGATAACTTAGTGCCATTTAACCTTGGTCAACCATAGATTTTCCTAAGTGAAGCTATGGTCGCGAAAAGCCATTTATATTGAAGAGAAGAGTATCAGATTCACAAAAAGATTTCCTTTGAGGCATGCAGCTAAGGATTTTCTGATTCACATTCACACACTGGTACCTAGGAGAGTGCTACAACCCTTACTATAGAGTCTTCCCATTGCTCTATATCAGTAAGCATCAGACTGCCATGTATAGACAAAATTATCCCTATTATAACCAATAGTCTGCACCCATTTTCCTTCATTTAGCAGCCATTTTGTTCTAATTTTCAATCAAATGTAGAAGAATTTATGTATTTATGTGGATATTCTACACCACTGGATGGTTTGATCCCTCTTGCAAGTCAATTGAGTCTTTATAATCCTGCATCAACTAAAAAGAATAAAAAAAATAAGTTAAAATTTCACTTAGAAACTTGGATTACCTACCGGTCTGGTATGTACAGACACAGGGGCCTTGAATGTTGTCACAGGATAGTTGTACTCAGAAACGCTGTAGGGATCAGAACTGCTGGAGGAGCACTTGGAGATGGAATCACAGCCTACGAAGGTGTTATCAAGAGGAAGTTCCTGGATGATGTGGTGCTTTGAATTCAGGGGTGTTTCAGGCTGGATCTGGAATGCAGGCTGAGGAGAGGCAGATTTGTAGTGTCGGGCCAAATCAGGGCTGTCAGGCTTGAAGGTGGTAGGCGTAGTACCCCAGTTGTATTTGCCCATGGTTTGCTCTTCCAGCTCAATGGGAAGGTCTAGTGTGACACTGTTTCCATCATTGTCACCATCATCTGGCTTTGCTTCTTCAATAGTGACAAAATTAAGTAGTAGATTCTTGGGGGCATGCTTCTTCTTCTTCTTCTTTTTCTTCATCATCATCATCTGCCTGTTTTCTGGGTTTGGAGTAACCCACTCTGAATTCTGTTTGTTTTTCTGAGAAGCCTTAAGATGTGGTGATTGGCGACATCTTACCAAAGCAGTGATGAAAATCACTAGGATGACAGTTATCGTGCCAGCAACAATGGCAACCACGATCTTGACATAATCACTGCTTGGTGAGGATGCATTTGCTGTTTCAACATTTTGGTTCCCTGGTGAGTCGATGCTTCTGCGCACTAATTCATAAATCAGTGTAGCATTAGTCAATGACTCATTCACAAAAAAATTGACAAGTACAACATTGAAGAGAGAATCAGGTTGTCCTAAATCCTTAGCTTTGACTGTCAGCCGGTGTAAACCAATGTCTGAAACAACACATTTCTCTTTCAATGTGATGTTACCTGATGTTTCATCAATGAGAAACAGTCCTTTTGTGTTTCCTCCCACAATGCTGTAATGAATCTCTGCATTCATGCCAGTGTCATTATCAATTGCAATTACCTTGAAGATGACTGTGTCTGGATTTGTGAATGATGGGACCCATTCATAGGAATAGTTTGATGGAGGAACAATAAAAATTGGTTTGTTGTCATTGACATCAACAACATTTATGGTTACTTTGGCAGTTGACGAACGTGACACCCTACCACCATCTTCAGCCTTTACATAGAAAGTGTAAGATTCTTGTTTTTCTCTGTCAAATGAAATATTTGGTCTGATGACACCAGTCTGTGGATCGATGGTGAACTGATCATTCACATCTAAAATGGACAGGGTAACTGCAGAATTCTCTCCATAATCAGGGTCAGTTACAGTGATTAGTCCAACTGTACCATGTCTTGGAAGGTTTTCAGGGACATAGAAGTTGTATTCATGGTGAGTGAAAATTGGACTGTTATCATTCTGATCGAGAACAGTCAAAAAGACTGTGGCGTTGGTCATTAAGGGTGGCATTCCATTGTCTTTTGCCAGTACTGTAAAGTAATATTTTTCCTGTTTCTCTCTATCTAGTTTCTTCACAGCTGTCAGAATTCCTGTGCGATGATCCAGATTGAATTCAGATGGTGCATCAAAACCCAGCATGTAGCTGATTTCAGCATTACGTCCACTGTCTGCATCAGTTGCACTTATTTTTGTTATCTGGGCTCCAGGAGAGTTATTCTCAGGAACAGAGAGACTTATGAAAGACTGAGTGAAAACTGGAGCATTGTCATTTTCATCTTTAACTTTGATTAGGAGCATGGATGACTGATTTAAAGGAGGTTTGCCAGCATCAGCAGCCAGTAATTTGATGGCATATTCTCTTGTAGACTCAAAGTCAAGAAACGCTGCGGTCTCCAGAAGGAATTGATTACTGAATACTGGTCGTAATCTGAAAGGAACTTCATGATCTGTGAAGCATGTCACCCTACCATTGTGGTCAGCATCCTTATCCATCACAGTTATGAGAGCAATTTTGGTGTTAAGCGGAGCATTCTCTGAAAGAACCACAGTGCCATTGGTTGGATTGACGATGTATCTTATGTCAATTGATGGGACGTTATCATTGATATCTGTAACATTTACCAGCACCATTGCTCTTGCTGGCACCGATCCACCATCACTTGCCAAAACCAATAACTTGTGGCTTGGTGATTCTTCCCTATCCAGTGGTTCTTTGACAGTGATAAGTCCAGTGGTGGTATTAAGATGAAATAGCCTCTTAGCGATGTTGGAGACTAGATTGCTGAAATAAAAGTGTATTCTGGCATTTTCACCTATATCAGCATCTGTGGCATGGAGCTGTGTCACTGAAGAACCTATAGGAGCATTTTCTGGTATACTGACTTCGATTTCCTGTTCCTTAAAGACTGGGCGGTTGTCATTTGTATCAGCAACACTAACTTGCAAAATAGCTGTACTGGATCTTTGGGGAAAGCCACCATCTTCAACTTTTACTTTCATAACGTAAGTATCCTTCTCTTCCCTATCTAACTCCTTTTGAACAATCAGCTGTGGCATCTTGTCTCCTTCTGGTGTTTCAATGATATCAAGCCCGAAGATGTTTTGACCCTGGAAAACATGAAATGACACAATTTAACTTATGATAGTATACCATAATGCATATGCTATAAAATATAAGCAAAGTTATTCTGTTATCTAATAAGAATGATTTCAAATTTCTAGACCCCACAGGACAGTAGAATAACTAAGGAACAAGTGCCAGAATACTCTAGTTCTAAGTCTCAACTCAGTCTATGGCTAATATTATGATCACAAGAAAACTATTAAATTATTCACGTTTGGAAAATTACAGTTGTGCTAGAAGATGCCCAGGTGGAATTTTAATTCATAACATCTTGTGGTAGTAAGTGTAACTTACTATATAAATTACTAAGGGGGCTGAAGAGATGATTCAGCAGTTAAGTGCACTGGCTGTTCTTGTAGTAGACCCAGGTTGATTCTGAGCTCCCACATGGCCTCTAACAAACATTCTAAACTCCAGTTTCAGGGGATCCCATGCCATCTTCTGACCTCCAAGGACATTCCCTGACACAGGTGCATTTACATACATTCAGGCAACCCACTCATACACATAAAATAAAAATATTAAATAAAATATTTAAAATAAATATATTAAAGAAAAAAATACTAGAAAAATATTGTAGAGTAGGTGCAGAGAAAGAAAGCATAGTCTTAGTTTAGTCTATGCAGGAGCAATATAATCTAAAAAAAACCGAAACAAAGTATGAAACTTTATGTATTAATTAATTAAAAATGAGTGAAATATAAAAAGTAAGAATTCTGTTTACCTCTCAATCATACAAAAATAAATAATACAATTTTATTTTACTATATAGGGAAGGAAATATTTTTATGCTATATTTATGTACAGTGTGAAATTTATCAAGCTGAAATACATTATTTTATACTGCATAATGTAAGAAAAAGAATTTTTGATAATGTTATATTAATAATAATAATAGTCACTCATAATGTGATCCAAATAGACTTATTGAGTAATAGTAATTACCAATTAACTTTTGTAGTGATGTTGCAAAGTGGTTTTAGGAAGTTGTGAATTTAGAATATTTCTTTTATGTATATAAAAAATGTTTCAAAATTGTAATTTATAAACATTCCTAATTCTTTATTCTATTCTGATAGTTATTAACATATCCTTTTTATGTGGATAATATGGCAAGAGAATTGTCCTGATCATGGGACCTATCATTGTAAATAGGCATATTTTATTAATGGAATGATTATAAGATGTCAAAATCAATGGCTATCAAAATGTTGAATGATGGTATTGGTATCAGCAGATAAATAGAAATTGCATTTTAAATGGAAGCTTTAAAAATAGCTCATTTATTATTTTATTTTATGTGTATGAGTGTATTGTTTGCATGTAGGTAGGTACACCTGGGTAGTGCAGTGCCCCCAGAGGTCAGAAGAGGGCATCAGGTACCCTGGAACTGGAGTCAGACATGGGTGTTTACTGCCATGTGGATGCTGGGACTCAAACCCAGGTTCTCTGTGAGAGTAGCCAGTACTCTTAACCACTAAGCAATCCCTCCAGTCCCTAAATAGAAACTTTAAAAGGAAAGCACAAAGTAATATTATTTAAGGAGAGATATGTAAGAAGAAACTAAGAAGAGTTATATAAAGAGCAACTAAAATATAATATGGTATTAGAAATGAATAAATTTTATGAAGTTACTTAAGTCCAGTTTTCCAACTTATTACTTCAATACACACTGGACAAAATATGATAGTTTTATAATTAATACTTTTATACACTTATATTTATGGATTTCCTTCTTATATATTTAGGTTTTAGCCTGTTTGCCAAAATTGTGAATTGGGTTACTTTTACACTCAAATTAAGTTTATATCTATTAAAAATCTAAGAAGAAAATAGTATCTTTTGTTTAAGTGAATTGGCAATAATCATAGAAGAAAACATTCTAATTCTCAAGATTATAATAACATGCATGTATCAACTGATGGATAATATCCATAATCCTTCTCTTGTCTCTTATGATCTATCTGTTCCATATGATAGTGATTATCTCTAAAGTAATATTTAAATTTAAGTACATTAAGGTTCAATTCAAAAGTCAGTTTCTAGTCCTTTTAGCCTCATTTTGGGTCTTAGTAGCTACATGTGCCAAGTGGCTACTGAGATAGATTGCACACAGAGAACATTTTTGTCTATGACTACTGTTTTTCATTTTTTTATATTTAATTTAGTTTTATGTGTATGTTTGTGTCAGAGTGTGGGTATGCACAAGTAAGTGCAGAATACTCATAGGCCAGAAGCTTTGGCTCCTCCTAAAGCCAGAATTACAATTAGTCATGAGCTGCACAACATGACCACTGGGAGCTGAAAGCTAGTCCTCTGGAAGAGCATCAAGGGTTCATAACCACTGAGGCATCATTCCAGCCCCTATACCATATTTCCTTAATAAAATATATATTTTCAACCACACTGTTGCAAGCATAATACCTATCCCCCAAATATTTAAATGACTATAAATGACTTATTGCCTTAGATATTTGAACTTCATGTGAATGAATCTTTGAGTTTGTGACTTAAGCTTTAATGGACTATTGTGTATGAACACTGAGTAACCATAGAAAATATTGTTGTTTATATGTATAATGTCTAAGGACATAACAGCCAACACATATAAAGTAGCCATTTGTTATGTAAATAAATGTTTGCTAAAAGGGTAGTTACTAATTTTCAAAGAAAAGGGATGAAGGAATAGCCCTTGTTTATTTATCATTTAAAAGTAACTCTCCTTCTATTATGGAAACAGGACCACTCGGTGTGTATATACATGTCTTTCTGTCTTTATTTTTCAATTCTATGTTAATAAACCTATTCAGATGACAATTTCAGAATTATTTTCTGAAACAATTTCTCTTCTCTCTTTTATGGATATAATAAAGTAAAATTGTCAAGAGCTAGTAAAACTATACTATCTAGTTGAAAACATTTATAAATATTGAGTATTATGTTTGTTATGTAGCAAGGGCATTACTTCCAAAACAAACAAATAAGCAAACAAACAAAAACCTTATATTTGTCAAAAAAATAACACAAAAAGAAGCTTGTTTGATGCATAGTATATGGTATGTTTGTCTGTAAATATAAGGATAGATATTTAGCATATAATAAGAAATTTCATTTGTCTAGAGATATGAAAGAGATAGGGTTTTCTCTAGGCTCTATGTCCTCTTCTGCCATGTATATATGGCTGAGTTCACAGTGTCACCCATGAATTCACTCCCATTGAGAGGGCTTTAAGTACAATTAGGCAGCTATTGATTGCTGCCCAGATAACCATGCCACTACTGCATCAATAGAGGTAGTTTGCAGTGCCAGTCCTTATGGTTATTAGGCTTTAGGGCTAGCTTGGACCATTGATTGTTTTTCTCCCTTGGCAGTGTGCATATCAACATCTAGCATTATGATAGTCAAATCTGTTAAAAGACTTCCAGGTCAGATCCTGCTCCATTTCCTCAAGTCCTGTGTGCCAGCACAACTGGTCAGACAGAGAGAATATATGTCTGAGAGATGCACAGTACTAGGTGGCACATCTACAGTTGAACCTCTACAACTAAGGCTCATGGAACATAGTGGAACAAGGAGAAGAGAGAAAACTAATGCATACCTCAACTCCTCAACTCTCAGCAGTAAAGCTTCCTTATACAACAGAGGGTGATGCACACAAGAGGCCACAACTAGCTAAGTTTTAAAGAATAATAGGATACAGAGTGCATATTCTTGGGTAGGGACCATTGTGGAATAGTTGAGCGGAAAGATTGTAAGAGCCAGGGCTGCTTCAAAAACACAGGTAAGCAGAGGCTTTCAAGAAACTGGAAGCTTGCACATGTGAACTCGTGGCAATAATGGCACTGAGCACAGCACCCATGCCAACTCAACTAAACAAGGGCCCAGAGGGGAGGAGAGAAAAATGGATAATGGGAGGCATGAGGCTGAGGACTATTACAGACTGATTGCTACTGGGTGAGGGAGAGTATGCCTTACATAACATCTCTACGTAGGCTAACTAGACGCCAGTGGACAAATTTTCACTGAAGGAAATCTGGGTGCAAATGCTTAACTGGATAGGATTTAACATGGTGGAATACATGGGGTCCGGTGAGGGGAATGCGTGTGCAAAGATGGAGGAGGAGGTCTAAATTTGATTAAGAACTGTTGTATGAAATTTCAAAAACTGAATAAAAAAGAAAACGTAATAGAGGAAAAATAATTAAACTGAAGCAAATGAAAATAAAAAAGGAACACAAACACCACCTCATGCTGATAAGGATACAAGGTGAAAGCAAACTTTTATTCACTGCTATTGGAAATGTGAATTAGTCTAAACATTATGGAAATCAGCATGGAGGTTCCCTCAAAATTTGAAAACTATCATATGATCTAAAAAAAAAAAGAACACATTCAATCAAAATGCAAAATGTAGAGGAAATGACATATGAAGTCAAATTAATATGGAATTTTGGATTTTGATAACATAAATGATATTTATCTCAAGTACATAAAATTGCCAATTCTAGTTCAGTACAAGAAATTTTATGGACTTTCTAAAAGTTTTTCATGATACAAAAAACCCTTATTTAATATGTGAGTGATATTTTCTTTTAGATTCAAAAGTGAATTTTGGTATTGGAAATGAAAGCCCCCCCCAAAAATAACCATTGAAATTTGCAAAACAATAAACCCGACACTTTAATTCTATGCAGAATCTTGTAAAATTGAAGGCGTGAAAGTTGATGATGAATTGAAATTCCTAAGAAGTATTTGTGATTTTGAAGAAATAAAATAAACTTCATTACTGAATATAAAGTTATAATGTTCTCTTATTGTTCTGGGAAAGAATTACATGTGCCACTGCGGTAAACAATTTTTTTTGACATATGCTCATGCATAGCACCACTTCCTTGCCTATTGGAACATAATAAATAACCCAGCACTTTCAATGTCATAAATCTGGTACAGTTGCCCAGAAAATGAATACCGTGCCAGTAAGTGC